GAGTCCTTGGAAGTATTCTTTGTGCAAAATCTTTTTTACTAATTTTACCATTTTGAGAAATGTTTTTGCCTCAAGACATCGAGTTGTACGGCATTAACTGTCACTTTTAATTAGTTACTACATTGGCTACTTTTATTAAGATTTTTGTATGCATTTGTCGGTGAGTCCTTGAAGTATTTGTATTTGTGAAAAATCTTTTTTACTAATTTCCACATTTTAACATATTTTTCTGCCTAAAAATATCAGTTTGTGCGGCGTTAACATGATGTTTTGAAACCGTAGTTGGATCTTTCATCTAGATTCTAGAATGATACAGACACTTCTCAATCTGGGTGGTCTTCAGTATCTACGTTCTTGATTGCTTCTCTTTGTGTGAACATTCCGTGGATTTAATACATCACATTACTCTTGTAGCGTCAAAATATTTATTTAAGTTTCTAATTATTATTTATTATATTGCCTGTAAATCTTTAAAGCTCGTTGTTATTGTTAGTGTTTGTCTTTCAGTACTAAATACAAGCGTAATCCACAAAATTGGTTAGCTTCTAGATATCTAATTTGAATAAGAAATAATAAAGTATGTTTAGTTAATTTAAATGGCTCTTTTATTTTTCAAAAGTAATTTTTAATATTATGCATGTATATGTATTAAATAAAAAACTTCAAATTATTACCCCTTTTGTAGTCAAAAAGGGCGATTTCTTTTGATATTTCTGGCCTTTACCCTTTAAAAAAAATCTAAGGGGCGAACACTTCCAATAAGGTAGTGTCAAATCTTCCTTCTCGCTTTTATTACTTCACCTGGTATTATAGCCCTGCCAGATAGAGCACGTTACGTGCGTTCCGACGAAGCATTCAACTGACAAGGCGTACGAAACGCATAGGTACGCCACAATGAAAGCGTTGTCACATGTAAACAAGTCAGCTGTTTTGTACTGGCGGCAAATTTTTCTTTGAATACAAAATAAGTCTATATTTTTAGTTGGGCTAATATTTCTGAAGAAGGTAAAAAAATGGAAGTAATTGAAGTTATTTTAATATTGCTCATGTTGCTGGAAGCCAGAGAATGCTTCAACAGGCTTTATGGAGGCCGCAGATGGTGGGTGCGACCTCCCCTACAGAATCGGGACACTCACGGATTTTTCGCCACGAATTTTGGATTCAGGGAGGAATTTAAGAAAAATATAAGGATGGAAAAGCACATTTTTGAAATGCTTCTTAATTTTATTAAGGAAAGGATCACTAGAAACAATTCTAATAGGCCATCCATTTCTCCAAAATGTCGACTTTACTTGACCCTCTGGTAAGTTATTCATATATCATGA